GCACCATAACCATCAGCATCCTTGGCACAGAAATAGGATCTGGAATCCTCATACTTGAGGCTGTTCATGGTCTGCGTCACCGAGCTCTGCCTGTTGTCCCTGGAGATCCTGAACCGACCCTGCACCGACGGCACGTAGTAGGTGGCACCATTGCTCCAGATCGCTGCGATCCATTCCAGCCCTGCCTGGGTCTCTGGTGCATCCAGCCCATCCCAAAACTGCCAAAATCGAACCCGGACCCTCGGCAGAGGAGGCACAGGGACCCCCTGGGGGGCTGGAGGCCCCCCCGCACTCCAGCAGGGTCACGGCCACGCGGAGCCCATCCCCAAACCTTCACCAATTTCTCCCATAACTCCCCTTGTTTGGTCCCAAAACCCCCCCAGAGTTTTCCATATCTCAACATGCCTCAAAACCTGCAATTAACCCCAATCCATTCTTTTATTACTTAGACACCTCATCCTGAGCATTCTGCATTGATTGCACAGTTAATACACCGTGAACGACACCCAATTCCCCCTGGGATCCCAACCCGGCACATCCCGGCCTTGGCCTCGAGCTCCCTTCCGGCTCCTGGCCCTGCTGCTCCTGCTGCCCCTCCCAGGTGGCCCTGCCTCTTTTTCCTGGAAGTGACTCCCCTTTTCCCCTTCTGGACCAATCAGATTTCCCATCCCCATCTCCCCTTTGTCCCGCAGGGCTCCGGGCGGCCGTGACCCTGCTGGAGTGCGGGGGGGGACCTACAGCCCCCAGGGGGTCCCTGTGCCTTCTCTGCCGAGGGTCCGGGTTCAGTTTCTGGAGTTTTGGGATGGGCTGGGTGCGCCAGAGACCCAGGCAGACACTGGAATACATCGCAGCTATACGCAACAGTGACAGCACCTAGTACGCGCCATCGGTCAAGGGCCGGTTCAGGATCTCCAGGGACAACGGGCAGATCTCGGTGACACTGACCATGAACAACCTCAAGGACGAGGATTCCGCCGCTTATTTCTGTGCCAAATGTTACACCAGTTGTTGTGGTAATGCTGCTTATGCTTATGGTGTTGATGGTGGTTGTGGCCTTAAGCCCTTTCTTCTGTGTTTCCACAAATCACAGCATTCTCATATCCTTCCCCAAAATCCCGGCTCTTTTTCTCACATCTCAGATATTTTCCCCCAAACTCCACCATCACTTCCGCAATTCCCAATTTCCCCCCAATTTTCCCCATTCCTCCACAGTCTGTCCCTTCCCCTCCGTCCCAGTGTGGAACGGGGATCGCTCCAGGGCCCTTTGCACACAAAGCTTTTTGTGCAGCCGGCGCTCTGCCGCAGCACCCAGAGGCTGAGCTGCCCTCTGCCAAACACAGATGTTCACAATGACCAAAACCAGGAACTCTCTGTTTCCTTTCCCACCCCAGCCGTGCCGTAGCAGCTGCCGGGGAGGAAGTGGGTGGAGGCTGCGGAGCCCCAAAATCACGGCGTCTTCTCCTCCCTCCCTCCCTCTGTCACTCCCACCTGGTGCTTCACTTCTCCCTCAGCGGCCTCGGTGTCTGGGGCTGCTCCTTGGGGCTGGGCTGGAATCCTCTCAGGGATCTATGGAGAAAAAACCCTTTTTTTTTCCCAAAAACACATGAAAGTTAGGGGAGATGAAATTGTTGAAATTGATCTCGAGGCAAGGGCTCCTTGCTGAGAGAAGCAGATGGGTGCAAGGGTGGAGTCACCTGGAACGTTCCATCGGTGCAGGGCAGGGTCAGAATGGCCTACTAGAGCTCAGGAGCCCGAATGGACCCGAGTGGGCCCCGAGCTGAGGTGTGGGGCCAGGAGCTGAGAATGTGGGGCAGAGTCAGGGCAGGATTGGGGCACGGGGACAGGAATGGGGTCAGGGGCCTGGGGATTGGGGAAGGGTCTGGGACAGGTGAGGGCAAGTGGTGAAAGAGCTATGGGGGTGGGGCCATTACCATAGGCATCATTGTCACCAGCAGTAGCACCAGCACCCTTGGAACAGATATAGGATCCGGAATCCTCGTCCTTGAGGTAGTTCATGGTCAGTGTCACTGAGCTCTTCCCGTTGTCCCTGGAGATCGTGAACTGGCCCTTGACCGATGGCGCGTACTCGGTGTAAGCACAATTGCAGCTGATCCCTGCGAGTCACTCCAGCCCCTGCCCGGGTCTCTGACGGACCCAGCTCATTCCAAAACTGCCAAAACTGAACCCGGACCCTTGGCAGCGGAGACGCAGGGAGCCCCGGGGGGCTGGAGGCCCTCCCCGCACTTCAGCAGGGTTACGGCCACCCGGAGCCCTGCGGGACAAAGGGGAGATGGGGATGAGGCCAAAGCTCAACCCTTGACCCAAATCCTGACCCTTGGCCCCACATTGGGATCTTTGGTTTTCATCATCCTTCCCCAGGAGGGTCCCGCCACTTTTTCGAACTGGCCAAACCCACCTTGAGTCCCTGGACCAATCAGGTTTCTCATCCCCATCTCCCCTCTGTCCCGCAGGGCTCCGGGCGGCCGTGACCCTGCTGGAGTGCGGAGGGGACCTCCAGCCCCCCGGGGGGTCCGTGCGCCTCCTCTGCCGCACCTCTGGGTTTGATTTCGAAAAATTTGCTATGCTGTGGATCTGCCAGAGACCTGGGCATGGGCTGGAATGGGTGGCGGGGATCAGCAGAAAAATTGGAAGCATCTACTATGCGGACTCCGTCAAAGGCCAGTTCACTAAGGTGAGCGACAACGGGCAGAGCTCGCTGACACTGACCATGAACAACCTCATGAACGAGGATTCCGGTTCCTATTTCTGTGCAAAAAGTAGTGGTGATTTGTTGTAGAGGTGCTGCTGCTCTTGATACAACTGATCCAATCACTGGGTCCCTGTCTGCATCCCCGCACCCCAGACCCTTCCGCCAAATCCCATTCCTCACCCTGTGTCCCAGCCCTGCTCTGGCTCTGCCCTAAATGTCCCCTTTGGGCCACTCTCAGTGCCCTCGATCTCCAAATGTCCCCGAAATGCCTGGATTTGGGCCCAAAGTTAGGATAAGGGATCAAGAATTCAAATTTGACCCAAAATTCCTGATGTGAGGCCAACGGGCAGATTTGGGTGGGTGGCTGTGACTCGGTGCCCGCAGGGGAGATTTGGGGTAAAATTGAACAAGTCTGGGCGCAGTGGTTGGGATAGGAGGGATGAGGCCGAGCTCAGAGTGAAACTGGCCCTGATTTGGGTCCAGAAGCTGAGATTTGGGGCCAGAGCAGGGCAGAGCTGGGACACGGGGACAGGAATGGGGTCAGGGGCTGGGGTTTGGGGAAAGAATTTGGAAAATGGGGACAAGTGGGGAAACACCAATGTCGATGGGGACAAAAGGATTCGCAGTAACAGCCCAACCAGCGCCTGCATATTTGGCACAGAAATAGGATCCGGAGTCCTCGTCCTTGAGGTTGTTCATGGTCAGCGTCACCGAGCTCTGCCCGTTGTCCCTGGAGATCCTGAACCGACCCTTGACCGACGGCGCGTACCAGGTGCTGCCAACATTGCTGGTGATCCCTGCGACATATTCCAGCCCCTGCCTGGGTCTCTGGCGCATCCAGTACATGTCAAAATTCCCTAAACTGAACCCGGACCCTCGGCAGAGGAGGCGCAGGGACCCCCCGGGGGCCTGGAGGTCCCCCCTGCACTCCAGCCGGGTCACGGCCGCCCGGAGCCCTGCGGGAAGAACGGGTGATTAAAAATGAGTAATCTGATTGGTCGTGGGCTTCAGAGTGGGCGTGGCCAGTGGGAAAACGGGGCAGGACCCACCTGGTAAGGGCAGCAGGATCAGCAGGGCCAGGAGCCGGAGGGAGCTCAAGGCCGTGGCTTGGATGTGACAGGGTTGGGGTCTTGGAACGTTTTGGCGGTCGTTAATACGATATTACTTTTGAAGTCAATGTGGAAAACTGAGGAGCAGGTGTCCAATTAATTAATGAGAATATTGAATTAAATTGCAGGGTTTGAGAAACCTTAGGATACCAGAAAAATCTGGTGGAGATTTGGGACCAAAGAGGGGGAGTTATGAGTGAAATTCGTGAAGATTTGGGGATGGGCTCTGGGCGGCCGTGACCCTGCTGGAGTGCGGGGGCGACCTCCAGCCCCCCAGGGGTTCCCTGCGCCTCCTCTGCCGAGGGGCCGGGTTCGCTTTCGGGAGTTATGGAATGTTCTGGATCTGCCAGAGACCCGGGCAGACACTGGAATACATCGCCAGTACCAGCAGCAGTGGTGGCAGCACCGGCTACGCACCTTCAGTCAAGGGCCGGGTCACGATCTCCAAAGACAACGGGCAGAGCTGGGTGATGCAGACCATGAACAACCTCAAGGACGAGGATTCCGCCACCTATTTCTGTGCCAAATCTACTTATGGTGGTGGTGCTGATGCTGCTGCTAATATTGACCCTGCCGGTGGTCACACCACCATTTGTGAGCCCTTCTTGTCCCCAGTCCCCAGACCCTTCCCCAAATCACTGCTCTTAGCCCCATTCCTGAGCCTTTCCCAGCGATCTCCCCCATTTTCAGCAACGCCAACCATGGAGCCAAAAAGCCCCGACAGGTTCTGCCCCAAACAAGGAAAGTTTGCAGCAAAATTCACCCCAAATCTCCCCGATGTCTTCAAATCCCCTCCAGCTCCCGGGCCCTGATTGGAGGAGGCCTGAATTGGAGGCCATGGGTGAAGGTTTGGGGCCAATGGTTCAGATTTGGGGCAGGAGCAGGGGAGGGTTTGGGGTCAGTGCTGACCATTGGTGTAAACGGGCAGAAAGGATGAAGATCTGAGTCAATGGGTGAGGTTTGGGATGAAAATCAGAGCTTTGGGAATAAAATGATGAGACCAGAGCAAATACCAGGAGCTTCACACCATCACAGGCACCATCACCATGACTAACAGGAGCCCAACAACCAGCACAAAAAGCTTTGGCACAGAAATAGGATCCGGAATCCTCGTCCTTGATGTTGTTCATGGTCAGCGTCACCGAGCTCTGCCCGTTGTCCCTGGAGATCTTGAACCGGCCCTAGACCGATGGCGTGTAGTAGGTGCTGCCACATTTGCTGATACTTGCAACTGGCTCCAGCTTCTGCCCGGGACTCTGGCGCAACCACTGCATGCCAAAACTGCCAAAATTGAACCCGGACCCTCGGCACAGAAACGTCAGGGACCCCCCGGGGGGCTGGAGTTCCCCCCTGCACTCCAGCAGGGTCACGGCCGCCAGGAGCCCTGCGGGACAATGGGGAGAGGATGGAAACAAGGACTCAGATTGGTCCAGAACACGAAAAGGGGCATGGCTTGCAGAAAAAATTGGCAGGACCCACTTGAGAGGGCAGTCGAGGGAGGATGTGGAGGCAGAAGTGTCAAAATTTGGGGCCCAGAGTCAGGGTTTGGGTCAAGGGTTGAGCTTTGGCCTCATCCCCATCTCCCCTCTATCCCGCAGGGCTCCGGGCGGCCATGACCCTGCTGGAGTGCGGGGGGGACCTCCAGCTCCCCGGGGGGTCCCTGCACCTCCTCTGCCGAGGGTCCGGGTTCAGTTTCGGGAGTTTCACCATGTACTGGATCCGCCAGAGACACGGGCAGACGCTGGAATTCGTCGCAGCGATCAAGAAAGATGGATCCAGCTACGCCTACGCATCATCAGTGCAGGGTCGTTTCAGGATCTCCAGGGACAACGGGCAGAACTCGGTGACGCTGACCATGAACAACCTCAAGGACGAGGATTCCGGATCCTATTTCTGCGGGAAAGCTGCCTATGATACTTGGGGTGCTGCTGCTGATGGTATTGACCCCATCCCCATGGCTGTGTCCCCACCTGTCCAGGTTCCCCAGACCCTTCTCCCAAACCCTGCCCCTGACCCCATTTCTGACCCCATCTCCCAACCCTGCCCTGGCTCTGCCCCAAATTCTCCACTCTCAACCACAAAGTTTACTGAAATCTTAACCCATGACCAGAAGTATCCACTTTCAGAATCAAGTTTTGGGTGCAGAGTGGAGATTTGGGGTCAGGAGTTGTTGTTTGGGGTCAGCGGGTGAGAATTGGGGCCGAGGCAGAGCAAGGTTGGGATCAATGGTCAAGGGCTGGGTGTGGGCTGGGGGTCTGGGGGAAGGGTCTGGGCAATGGGGACAGGGGGACACGAGGAGATGGGGACAGTACAAGCACCATCAATATAATCAGCAGGAGCACCACCACCACCAGGAGCTTTGACACAGAAATAGGATCCGGAATCCTCGTCCTTGAGGTTGTTCAGGGTCAGCGTCACCGAGTTCCACCCGTTGTCCCTGGAGATCGTGACCCGGCCCTTGACCGATGACGCGTACTTGGTGTAACCTCCACTGTCACTGATCCTTGCGATGTACTCCAGCCCTTGTCCAGGCCTCTGTCGATACCAGCCCATGCCAAAACTGCCAAAATCGAAGCCGGACCCTCGGCAGAGGAGGCGCAGGGATCCCCCGGGGGGCTGGAGGTCCCGCCCGCATTCCAGCAGGGTCACGGCCGCCCTGAGCCCTGCGGGACAAAGGGGAGATGGGGATTGGGCCAAAGCTCAACCCTTGACCCCAATCCTGACTCTTGGCCCAAAATTGGGACCCTTGGAGTTTATCACCCTCCCCCCAGGAGGATTCTACCCCTTTGTCCAGCTGGCCACACCCACTTGGAGGCCCTTGACCTATCAGACTTTTGATTTCCATCCTCTCCCCTTTTTCCTGCAGGGCTCCAGGTGGCTGTGACCCTGCTGGAGTGCAGGGGGGACCTCCTGCCCCCCAGGGGGTCCCTGCGCCTCCTCTGCCGAGGGGCCGGGTTCAGTTTCAGTAGCTACGACATGTTCTGGGTGCGCCAGAGACCCAGGCAGGGGCTGGAATGGCTCGCGTGGATCAGGAACGATGGTGGCAACTCCGGCTACGCGGATTCAGTCAAGGGTCGGTTCACGATCTCCAGGGACAACGGGAAGAGCTCGGTGACGCTGACCATGAACAACCTCCAGGACGAGGATTCCGGGTCCTATTTTTGCGCCAAATGTTACAGCAGTGGTTGTGGTCCTAATATTGATGCTTGTTATTATGACGATGCCTATGGTGGCCCCTCCTCGATGCTGTGCCCACAAACATCCCAAAACCCCACATTCTTCCTCCAAATCTTTAGTGTTGGCCACAAATCTTGACCGTTTTCCCCAATCTCCCCAATCACTGTCTCACCTCACACATTTCCATGGGGCTTTCAGAATTTGAAATGATTCTCAAAGGTTCATCCCCAAAACCGTGCCCTGTGTTCCCCAGATCACAGCGGGGTTCACTTGTGACCATTGGCTCCAAACTCTGCTGGTTGTGCCCCAAATCTCTGCTCTCGGCCCCTAACCTCAGCTCTTGGCTACAAGGCTCAACCAAGGTCCCCCAAACCTGGGTGCAAATGGTCAAGATTTAGGAAAAATGGTCCAGATTTGGGTCTGTGGGGGTCAACAATGGGGTCAAGGGTAGGGGGGAAGGACCTGGGGAACGGGGACAGGTGGGGACACACGGATGTGGCCAGGACCAAAAGTAGAACCAGCAGCATGAGCCTCCCAACCCCAACCATCATAGGCGTTTTTGACACAGCAATAGGATCCGGAATCCTCGTCCTTGAGGTTGTTCATGGTCAGCGTCACCGAGCTCTGCCCGTTGTCCCTGGAGATCCTGACTGAGCCCTTGAATGATGGCACATATCTGGGGGTGGAACCAGCACCGTTGATCCCTGCGACGAATTCCAGCCACTGCCCAGGTCTCTGGCGGATCCAGAACATTGCAGATTTTGTGAAATTGAAGCCAGAGGTGTGGCACAGCAACGTCAGGGACCCCCAGGGGGGCTGGAGGTCCCCCCTGCACTCCAGCAGGGTCATGGCTGGCCGGACCCCTGCAGGACAAAGGGGAGATGGGGTTGGGGAGCTGGATTGGTTTTGGACCTAAAGTGGGCGTCGCCATGCCAGAAAAAGGGTGTGGGATCCACCTGGGAGGGCCAGCAGGTGCTGCAGGAGGAGGATGGGGCCGTCCAAGGGTCCCAATTTGGGGCCAACATCAGGATCTGCCTGCAAGAATTAAAATTTGGGTAGTTTTTTTATTCCTCACCATCTCCCTTTTGTCCCGCAGGGCTATGGGCGGCCGTGACCCTGCTGGAGTGCGGGGGCACCTCCATCCCCCCGAGGGGTCCCTGAACTTGCTGTGCCGTGCCTCTGGGTTCAGTTTTGGGACTTATGGAATGTTCTCGATCCACCAGTGACCCCGGCAGGGGCTGGAATACATCGCCAGTATCAGCAGCAGTGGTGGCAGCACCGACTGCGCACCGTCGGTCAAGGGCCAGGTCACGATCTCCAGGGACAACGGGCAGAGCTCGGTGACGCTGACCATGAACAACCTCAAGGACGAGGATTCTGGATCCTGTTTCTGTGCCAAAGCTGCTGGTAGTGGTTATGGTGGTGGTGCTGCTGCTTATAGTGACGATGGCCGTGGTGGATCTGTCCCCATCTCTGTGTCCTCACCTGTCCCCAAACCCAGACCCTTCCTTCAAATTGTCCCCCACACCTCAGCCCTTGACTCTTTGTTCCAAATCTCCCCCATTTGCACCAATGGTCAGCACTGACCCCAAACCCTCCCCTGCTCCTGCCCCAAAACTCAACCATTGGCCCCAAACCTTCAAGCCTGGGCTCCAGTTCAGGCCTTGCTCTCCAAGAGTTCCCATTTCTGCCTGTGCCAACTCAGCCAATCAGGGCCCGGGGAACTGGGGGAAATTTGGGTGAAATGGGCAAATCTGGGAAAACATCAGGAATTCGGACAGCAATAGTGGAAACTGGGGAGTAAGGTCAAGAAAGGGGTCAAGGGTTGGGATTTGGGAGAAGTAATTAGGGAAATTTTGGGAACTCGGGCTGCGGCCTTGGGACGATGCTGAGGATTGTCACCATAAGCAACAGCAGCACCATTCCAACCACCATCACTGCATCTGGCACAGAAATAGGATCCGGAATCCTCGTCCTTGAGGTTGTTCATGGTCATCGTCACCGAGCTCTGCCCGTTGTCCCTGGAGATCGTGACCTGGCCCCTGAACGATGGATCGTAGTAGGTGCTGCCATCGCTTTGGATCCCTCCAATGTGTTCCAGCCCCTGCCCAGGTCTCTGGCGCATCCAGCCCATCCCAAATTGTCCAAAATCGAACCCGGACCCTTGGCAGAGGAGGCGCAGGGACCCCCCAGGTGGCTGGAGGTCCCCCCCGCACTCCAGCAGGGTCACGGCTTCTCCCGCATCCCCAAACCTTCACTGGTTTGCCCCAAATTCCCTTTTTCTTGCCCCAAATCTCCAACAGAGATTTCCAGAATTGTAAAGTGCTTTAAGCCCTGCAATGAGCCCCAGTCCACTCATTAATTAATTGGACAGCTCTGCCTGACTTTTGCAACCCCTCATCCCCATCTCCGCTTTGTCCCGCAGGGCTCCGGGCGGCCGTGACCCTGCTGGAGTGAGGGGGGGACCTCCAGCCCCCCGGGGGTTCCCTGTGCCTCCTCTCCCAAGGGTCCGGGTTCAATTTCGGGAGTTATAAAATGTTCTGGGTCCGCCAGAGACCTGGGCAAGGGCTGGAATTTGTTGCAGATATCAGCAACACTGGTGGCTCCACCGAGTATGCGCCATCGGTCAAGGGCCAGGTCACGATCTCAAGGGACAACGGGCAGAGCTCGGTGATGCTGACCATGAACAACCTCAAGGACGAGGATTCTGGATCCTATTTCTGTGGGAAATGTGCTTATACTGGTGGTTGCAGTTCTGATGCTGGTGCTATTGATGTGCCGGGCTTGGCCCCATTCCCCAACCAGCATTGCAGGAGCATCCGGGCGAAGAACGGTCAGGACAGACGGATGGACACGAGAGATCTCTGCAGCCAGGTTGTGGCATTTGGGGTTTATTGCAAAGGACGAACTGCAGGGCCCTGCTGGGAGCTGCCAGGCACAGCTGGAGCAGGGCTGGGAGAAGAGAGGGGAGAGAGGATGAGAGGGTGAGAGAGTAAGAGAGTAAAAAAGGTAAATGAGTAAAAGGGTGAGAGAATAAAAAGGGTAAGAGAGTGAAAGAGTCAGTGCATAAAATGGTAAGAGTGTAAAAGGGTAAGAACATAAAACTCTAAGAGCATAAAAGGGTAAGAGAGTGAGGTTCCGACCACAATACAATAAATCTTCTTCTCTGTTGAATATTCTAATTCTCACTAACCAATCTGGTCCAATATACAAATCCCACAGCATTTACATACAGCCTATAAGAATCGTTTCATTACCGTACTGTGTTACATTTTAAACCCTAAAAATTGGTCTTTGGGACCCTTCTGCTAAGACTAAAACCTACTCTTTGGAAACCCTAAAAACTCCTTTTTGGAGAAACTTTAAACCCTAAAAACTCCTTTTTGGAGTAACTTTAAAACCTAAAAACTCTTCTCTGGGGTAACTTTAAACCCTAAAAACTCTTCTTTGGCCCCTTCTGCCAAGCTGTGGGGTCTGCTCTGACCCTTGGAGCTGTCTGCAGGCAGAGGGTGTTGTTCCATCAAAATGGGATCACCTTCAGCCGGCCACACCGTTGTTTTCCTGTTGTTCAGTAACTGAGGGATCTCAAAGCTTACTTTCCTTTCAATCTCGCTGATGGTTTCCATATTCTCAAAATCTTTTGCCAGGCAATCCTATTGATAAGGCTTTGCTGTTCCATCTTCCCCAACCAGCATCAGCATAAGCATCGTGACCATCGTTGTCCTTGGCACAGAAATAGGATCCGGAATCCTCGTCCTTGAGGTTGTTAATGGTCAGCATCACCGAGCTCTGCCCATTGTCCCTGGAGATCCTGAACCGGCCCTTGACTGAATCTGCGTTCCTGGTGACGCCACCACTGCTGGTGATGGTTCCAAGCCACTGCAGCCCCTGCCTGGGTCTCTGGCGGATCCAGGCCATCCCAAAATTCCCAAGACTGAACCCGGACCCTCGGCAGAGGAGGCGCAGGGACCCCCCGGGGGGCTGGAGTTCCCCCCCACACTCCAGCAGGGTCACGGCCGCCCGGAGCCCTGCGGGACAAAGGGGAGATGGGGATGAGGAACCTGATTGGTCAAGGGACTCAAAGTGGCTGTGGCCTGCTGGAAAAGAGTCGGCACCCATTTTGGGGAAGGATGAGAAGGTCTAGGGGTCAGAATTTGGGGCCAATAATCAGAATTTTGGTCAAGGGTTGAGCTTTGGCCTCATCCCCATCTCCCCTTTTTCCCACAGGGCTCCGGGCGGCTGTGACCCTGCTGGAGTGTGGGCGGGACCTCCAGCCCCCCGGGGGGCCCCGGCGCCCCCTCTGCCGAGGGTCCGGGTTCGATTTTTACAGCAATTTTGCCATGAATTGGATCTGCCAGAGACCCGGGCAGGGGCTGGAATGGCTCGCTGGAACCTACAAAACTGGTTCCAGCACCTACTACGCGCCATCGGTCAAGGGCCGGTTCATAATCTGCAGGGACAACGGGCAGAGCTCGGTG